GTATGAGGGTTTTGGAATGACAGGAACCCAGGAATGAAGTCACTGGAGGATAATGTTGGTTGGGGAGGAGGGTGGAAATTGAGGTGAGTACAGATGAATACAACTTCTGAAAGGCCTCGGGTTGCCATGCTTTAATTAAAAATTGGACTTAATTATTTGGCTAAGCTGTAATTTCCTGATTATGTTAGATGGCTTTTTTAAATATAGAAATTGCCCTCAAACTGTGGATTTCCTGTACTCTCTTTTTATGCCAATAGGTCGGCTGCCTCAATGCTCTTGTTATAATGATATGATTCTTTATAGATGTTTTGCTGTAATACTTTGATTGTTTCTTTACAGAATTGATCTTAAGCCTGAGATTCCTAAATTTAGCTTTTGATTTGAATTTCCCCTTCTGATTACATTTGAAGATGCCTCTATAGGTCAGTTGTAGCTGCTTGTCTGATATATAAATGGAATACAGGGAGGAGTACTTGGACTGAAGAAACAAGTTAGGTTAATATCTGAACTACTTTTTCCTTATCTATATTAAAAGCATGCTGGATTATATTTCCAAAATCTTCATCTAACGTTAAGTTTCTTTTTTTTTTTTTTTAAAGATTTTATTTATTTATTTGACAGAGATCACAAGTAGGCAGAGAGGCAGGCAGAGAGAGAGAGGAGGAAGCAGGCTTCCTGCAGAGCAGAGAGCCCGATGTGGGGCTTGATCCCAGGACCCTGAGATCATGACCTGAGCCGAAGGCAGAGGCTTTAACCCACTGAGCCACCCAGGCGCCCTAAGTTTCTTTTTTTTTGTCCAGCGTATTATGCTGTGTTATTGGAAGGAAGAGGTGTAAGAACAGCTTCTTGCCCTCAGAACTGTGTACTAACGGGGATGCTCTTGGCTTTTTTTAACTGGACGGTTCTTTGTTAATGCAGGACAAGTGGTTACTGCCTAGCTCATTTTGCCATCTGTTAATTTAGACCAAATTGCTCAATCATTTTTCCAGAGAATTCCAATGGCTTATTTTTTAATGTGTAATTTCCAGATTTTTAAATACTCTCTGAGCTAAATTCAGCACGGGGCACCAGCTTGCTTCTCTAGTTTAGGGTTTCCAGCCGGTACACTGGAGAGATCTCTATTTGTGTATTTCAAGCTGTGACTCCAAAGGGTGGGTTGGGATTCTTTGGTTAGGAGTTTGGTGATCACACTAAGGCAGGTTTGTCTCTGAAATGTTGAAAGATCAAAATGTATCTCTCTACCTTTTTTCTCCTTGACATTAGGAAGATAGAAGTGAATCAGAGTGGGACTCCATCGTTGGTAGAACACGCATTAAAGCAAGAGTATAAGCCTTGATTCTTTAGCTTCTAAACAACTATTAGTCTTTAAGTACTGTTATTCTTGGACTCTCTTCCTTGATTGTAAAAGTGATGCAAGCTGCAATTGTTGTTTGAATGCAATGAAAATTTTATAAAATAGAATTGTTTTTCAGTTAACGTTAATTTCTATTGAAAACTAGGCTTGAGTAGGCTTTTGGGGGGGTTGGTTTGTTCCTACATTTGGTAACAGGATAGCAAAGCTTAATTATGATAAATTCCTCTGTTGTAGGAGGGGACAGTGTTAAAAATGGTTGTTAGTATTCTTACTGAGAGTTCTCTTCTAATGTCTTTGTACTGTTTCTGAATGTTTAAGATGGTGTTACTAATTCTCTTGAGTGAACTAAGTATCAACCTTTCATTTTCATTTGGATAGTTTTAGAACTATTCAATGAATAATGAATAATAGGGAGGTATAAATAAGTATCCTTTCTCTGTGCAGAAGTTCCTTGGCGTTCAAGGAGTGGTGTTCTGCAAACTCACGCAGCATTTACAAAAGCTAACTGCAGAAGGTACTCACTGCTTAAGATCATCAGCAGTTATTGTCTTGTCTGGCCTGAAATAGTTCTTCTGAAATCAGTACCAGGCGGTGTATTTAAGTAATAAGGAACAATTCAAATGTTAATTAAGCCTTTTAAAACTTGGTGGAAAAGCAGTTGTTTTCAGGTTTGATGAAGAAACCTTTCAGAAAAGAAGTAAGATTTTATAGCTGCCCAAAGACATGGAACAGGCTTTTGAGTAAGTGAAAGGATGATTAAGGAAGGTTAGATTGACCAAAGCCTTTTTTTTTTTTTTTTTTTTTAAAGTAATCTCTACACCCAATGTGGACCCTGAGTTCAGGAGTCACAGATTCTTCTGACTGAGACAGCCAGGTGCCCCCCCCCCAAAAAAAACCTTTTTTAAATCAAGCATTTTTAATATTTAATCCTGGTGTGCTTTGAAGAAAAGGGAAATCTAGAAACCCTAGGAAGTACAGTTGGGAATTGAATATATATTCAATTTTAAGTGATACATAAGTGGATTTTAAGACTCAAGTCTTTGAATATACTTAATCCTTTCCAGTTTTCTATTTCTAATGAAGCATGAAGCAGTTCACATCAGGATTCTTTGGGGGAAATTCTAGGCACCAGATGTTTGAATTTCCTCAGTAATTTTTTATCATGGAAAATTTCAGACATACTCAGAATTAGCAGAATAATGTAATGAGGCCCTAATGAGCGTATCACTCACATTTGATGCTTACCCCCTTCTAGTAATTAGCATGGAGCTATATAGAAATTGGACCGTCTCCACCATTGACTTACCATGTAACCTGAGTTAAGTTCCCTCTTGAGATTTTAGTGGATCACTATCTCACTAAGTATTCTCATCTCTTAGGGTCGTTGTGATGATTCGGTAACAAAATTAGTATAAAACATATAATATGGAGTTTTGCCTATTGCTGGCACTCAGCAATATTAGTTCCATATCTCATTTCATAAAAAATGAAGTAAATACTCTTAAAGAAATACATGAAATATATTGAACATATTGAATTTGTTCAATATATTTAGTATATTGAACTTAATATACTGAATATATTGAAATATATGAAAAAATACACATTTTCTTTTACTGATTGTGTCCTGTCTTGTGACTTGAGGCTGCTGTTTTTTTAATATGATGTTTAGGTAAGTGTAAGCAGTTACTTGCCCCACTCTAAAAAAGTTTTTAGGAATGAAACAATTTATTTTTCTGTAGCTGAGACTTTTCTTAGAGATACAGCTTCCCAGGCTTCCCCCACCCCCATTTTTCCATAGAATAGGTTTGTCTGATAGAAATATAATGCAAGTCACATATTTTATTTAATGCAACATACCCGAAATGTTACATGTGTACAATTAAAAAAAAAAAAAAACTGAGATGCTTTCCACTCTTTGATTTAAGTTTTCAGTATCCATTTGTGTACTTAATATTTAATTCGGGCTAGCCAGAAATACTCAATAAATAACCATGTGTGGCTAGCATCTACCTTATTAGACAACACAGCCTTGGAATCCCATAAGGTGTTCACATTCTCTGTGCCTACAGCACATTTTTTTTTTTTTTTTTTTTTAAGATTTTATTTATTTATTTGACAGAGAGAGAAAGATCACAAGTAGGCAGAGAGGCAGGCAGAGAGAGGGAGGGAAGCAGGCTCCCTGCCAAGCAGAGAGCCCGATGCGGGGCTCGATCCCAGGACCCTGAGATCATGACCTGAGCTGAAAGCAGAGGCTTAACCCACTGAGCCACCCAGGCGCCCCCCTACAGCACATTTTTGAAGTGTCATGGGAAAGAGCCATGGAGAAGATAGAATTAGAACCACATTTTCCCCAAAGCTATTTACGTGGTCAGTTGATTCTGAAGATTCCCGATTGATTACTTCTTTATTTGTTCTTACAGAAATTTATAAGAAGCTTAATTCCAGATGATAATTTTTTAACTCCTTAAAGTTATTAATGGTATTAATGATAGTGATACATGGCCCTGTAATTTTTGTTTTTCTTTCATATTTTTTATGTATTAGGTATTTGGTATATATATGTATGAGAAAATATAGCACTAAGTAGTGTATAGTAGTTATGATGTTATCCTTAATGATGGTGTGCTTTTGTTTTTTAAGATTGCAGCAAAAATTGGAGGTGATGCTGGTACATCACTGAATTCAAATGACTATGGTTATGGGGGACAAAAAAGACCTTTGGAAGATGGAGGTAAGTTATAGTCATAAGTATTTTAATTGTTTCACACACAGGTTAGTTGAAGGTGATTTTCAATATTTTTCAATTTTTTTTTACTGAAACATTGCTTTTATAATGTTCTTAAAATTGTAAGGTTTATGTTGGCCTCAAGAGAAAAGGGGGGGAAAGACCTTAGACAAGGTAGGTAAAATTTTGAGTCAATCAGCCAGTTTTGTCTTAGTAGAAAACAACAATTTCTCTTTTAGGATTGTGCCAGATTGACAGTTTGCACAGACATCTTGTTAATATACTGAAAAGAACAAAAATATAAAATGTTTAGAAGACATTTCACTGGTTTTTCTCATCATATGTGAATTAATCTTTATATGCTATGTTTTTATTGTTTTGCTATTTCAGATTTCACTTTAAAGGTTGATGTTGCTATAGCTTGCTACTGTAGTGTGTTGCAGGTTATACCTTTTTTTATGTTACTTTTTTTGTTTTAGTACCTTGTTTTGTGTTTCAGGTTTAACTCAAAATGTGGCTTAAAACAGATTTACAGTGCTTTGCATTTTTTAAAAAAACGTAATTGTTGAAGCTTCTGAACTTAGAAGTCTGCAAGTATTTTTTGTTTTAGATTTGATGTATGAATTTTGATACATTTTCTTTTTGCCCTTTTATTTACTTAATTTTTTTTTAAGGAGGATTCTGAATGAGCCTGTAGAATGTATTTGTAGCTTTTGACCAGGTGTACTTGGTTTCCTTTTATTTAAGTGTCTTTCACATTTATAGTGAGGTTTTAATATACAAAAAAATGAGCTAATGATGCTTCAGATGTTGTATGTAATGTATTCTTTTTATTTTATGTGTAGATGGCTCTTGGACAAGTCCGAGCAGTACAACACACTGGGAGGGAATGCCCTCTCCTTTTAAAGGCAGGAATTTTTATTTATTACCTGTGTTTAGTATGTAACCGTGAAATAAACCAGTGGATTCTTAAATGGACACAAATAATTCTTGGATTATGTGTCTGAATTTTTGCTGCACAACATTCTGATGTTTAATCATTTAAGTTTGAAGGGGGGAGGAAAATGTAGTACTTTCAGATGTAGGTTGTCTATTCTAAGGTATGCATTGTATTCATCTGTGTAAAGGATGTAGATGAAGGTAGTCATGTAGTTGCTTTGAGTTTTTCTGCTGAAGTGTATGCTGTGAAATGTTTGGTTAGGAACAGTAGAATAGTTTAGATTGAGATTGCCTTGTAATGTGATTTTTTTATTATTTTGCATAGCCTTGTGGTCACTGTCAGATACACTCAACTTTGATATGTCAAATTTTCACATTTTGATAGGTTCTGTTTTTCTTCCAGTCTTCAGTTCCTACAGTGGGAAGCATCATTAGCCTTTAGCATGTGATATTTTGCTAGTAATGGACCTAAATACTTTGTCTTGTATCATTCTAAAGTGCTTAACATACATTAAGGTCAGTGATTTGATAAAATCAAAAAGAATTTTTTTAAATGTCTGTGCATCTTTTAAACATGAAGAGAATGAAAGAAATGTAATGTTTCTTTTGATTACTAAGAGTTTGGGATAAGTTTTGTCACTTTTGGTTCAAATGATCAACAATTACCTACAGCTGTTTCAATAAGTGTTTACATTGATATTCTTGCTTGGGCACGGGTTAGCTAAGTCTTGTATTTGTACTTACTGGCAAAAAGTTAAAAGGCTCTTAATTTTGCAGATCAACCAGATGCTAAGAAAGTTGCTCCTCAAAATGACTGTAAGTATTTTAAATTGGGTTAAAAGCTAAAGTAACTGAATTTTAATATCAGAGTTTTATTCCTAGTTTTTGTTGGGTGTCTTCAGAGTTAGTTGATGGCCAGAATACTTTAGAATGAATGTCTTTGTAAATAATACTTCTTGTCTTCATAATCTCGTACTTGAATTATGGCTAGACATATATTCATACGATTTGATGGCTGAATTATTTTCATATTCAATTTTATAGCACCATTTTTTAACCTAAGCTTGTGCCCCTTGAGAAAGAACGGTTTCTTTCTATGTCATTGCTAATGATACCTGCTGTTTCACTGACTTTCTTGCCCACTGTCAATGTTGATTTAAGTATTCTGCCTAAAAGTTTACTCTCAAAGGTGGTGTTTTCTGTGTGTATGGGAAAGATTTTAGTATGGCTTGATGTAATTGTATTGTTAAATATGTGTGAACTTAAAGTTTTCATTTTATTTGATTTTTTGGTAGCTTTTGGAACACAGTTACCACCGATGCATCAGCAACAAAGGTATAGTGAAAGGCTTTTCGAAGAGTACTTTGCAAGTTTTAGTTGAAATGTCTGTAAAAACACAAATTAGTATATAGTGAATATGTGCCTGTATATTCTTTTTTGTTTATTCATTTCTGTCCATTTTAGTTGAGAACAGAATAATCATTTTTCCTTTTGAGTGAGATACATTTGTAATTTGGAAGGAAGGTCGAATTAGCCACATATTTGAAGAACTAAAGCAAATGAAAATAATTGTTAAGAAAACATTCCCTGAACCTCCACCCCAGCTCCTTTGCATTTAATGCTTTCAGGCTGTTTATCTACCATACCCTCCTCAGTTGGTGTGTGTCCCATTAAGATTCTGACTTGAACTACTCAAGCTGCTTTTTGACTATGAATATGTGCCTGAAAACCTAGTTTAAGCCATTAGACTTCCTTTTTTTTTTTTTTTTTTTTGAAGATTTTATTTATTCATTTGACAGACCGAGATCACAAGCAGGCAGGGGGTGGGGAAGCAGGCTCCCTGGCAAGCAGAGAGCCCGATGCGGGGCTCAATCCCAGGACCCCTGGGACCATGACCTGAGCCAAAGGCAGAGGCTTTAACCCACTGAGCCACCCAGTTGCCCCCTAGACTTCCATTTTTATTGGATTACCTTTTGAATGTAATCAGTTCTCTTTCTTTGAAGGAAAATGTTAGTTTTTGTTTTTTGTTAGCAGGTCTGTAATGACAGAAGAATACAAAGTTCCAGATGGAATGGTTGGATTTAGTAAGTACTCTAATTTTTAAAGCTTTGAAAACAATCAAAACATACTTTACAGTCTTAGCAAATAATTTTTTTTTTTTCTTTACTAGTAATTGGCAGAGGTGGTGAACAGATTTCACGCATACAACAAGAATCTGGATGCAAAATACAGATAGCTCCTGGTAATGTTATTCACTTGCTATTTTCAAAGTGACTGGAAAATTAGTGTTTTTTTTTTAAGTAACTATCGCTCCTGGTAATGTTATTCTCTTGCTATTTTCAAAGTGACTTGAAAATTAGCGTATTTTTTTAAGTAACTATCGAAAGTGATATTGTTATCTTTTTTTGGCCTAAAATATTTTTGTGTTTTTTTATTTAATTATAGACAGTGGTGGCCTTCCAGAAAGGTCTTGTATGCTAACTGGAACACCTGAATCTGTCCAGTAAGTATGAAATCATATGCCTGAGGCCAGCCCCTCTTTCCTACTGAAGGACATTGCCCCTAAATTTAATTGATTTTATCCTGCACTATTAGTTTTCCCATTTTCTAGCTAATTTCTAACAATATATAAAGATGCTGAAAAATCCCTCCATCTTAACAAAAACTGTCCTCAAACCTCACATTTTCTGCTTCTCTGCCTCCTTACATAATAAAATTCCTTAAAGGGAGTAGCTCTCTTCACCATGTCGTTTGCATCTGTTTTCATTTTGTCTTGAACTTTTATGAATCAGACTTTTATTCCCATGGTTCCATTGAAGTTGCTCTTTTCAAGATCTCATATGGCCTCTGCATCTTTCCACCCATCAACATTGTTTGACACAGGGAACCACTTTCCTAGAGATATTCCCTCCCTAGCTGCTTTCTCAGTCATTCTTGGTCATCCAGCTTTATCTTCCTGGCCTTTCAAGTATGAAAGTGCCAGAAAATTCAGTTCTCCTACAGTCTGTCTACGTGTACTCCTCAGATTACTTCATTTATTCTTTCACAAACTTTAATATATACATAGCTTTATATATCATAAATTTTATATACTCCTAAATTGTTATTTTCAGCCTTGCTCTCTTTTTCTAACTTACAGAGTCCTATCAAGCTGCTCACTTAGTATTTCCACTTGAATATCTACTAGACATTTCAGACTTTGGATTGTTCATAATTTTTTTCCACCCCGTTATCTAGTCTGCTTTGTCCTCTACTCATCTCAGTATATGGTAGCACTGTTTTAATACTCTTTTATCTTTTTCTTTGGGTACCTGGTTGGCACAGTCCTTTAAGCACCGGACTCTTGGTTTCAGCTCAGGTCTTGTGAGGTTGGGCTCTGCACTCAGCAGAGTCTGCCTGAAACTTTCCCTCTTCCTCTACCACTTCCCCTACCCCACCCCTGAACATGAGCACTCCAAAATAAATTTTAAAATTTGTTAAAATTACCTTTATCTTTTTCTTGTCTTTCATTTATCCATAAGCAATGCTTTGGTCATTTTTCTTCAAAATTTATTTGGAATCCAGCCTCTTCTTGCCATCTTCTGTACTATTACCTTGTCTGTGACCATTTGTCTATATTTCAACATTTCAGCATGTTTCCATTCTTTTTATTTTAGCCTTGTTCAGAAGTAGTCTTTTCTTAGAATAGTATAGCCATATGATCTTTTTAAAATGTGAATCAGGGGGTGTCTGGGTGGCTCAGTCGTTGGGCGTCTGCCTTCGGCTCAGGTCATGGTCCCAGAGTCCTGGGATCAGGTCCCACATCGGGCTCCCTGCTCCACGGGAAGCCTGCTTCTCCCTCTCCCACTCCCTCTGCTGTGTTCCCTCTCTCGCTGTCTCTCTCTGTGTCAAATAAATAAATAAAATCTTAAAAAAAAATGTGAATCAGTTTATGTCATTACTTTGCTCAGATCCTCTAATGCTTCACCATGTCTTTATCATGGCTTGATTTACCTGCCACCTTTCTCACTTCATTTTTTACCTCTTCTCCCAACTCACTGTGTTTAAGCCCCATTTAGCTTCTGTTCTTTCAGCACACCAAGCATGCTTCTCATCTGAGACCTTTGCAAATTCCTGTTTCTTCTCTCTGGAACATTTTGCCCTCTGATATTTTCATAGTTTCTCCCTCTCTTCCTCTACATTTTAGTTCAGATATCTTATCAGTAAAGTCTTTTATGTCTGCTTTGCATGAAATAGCATATCTTTATGTACACATTCTGTCCCCCTTATTCTGTTTTAATTTTGTTTGTATCACTTAACCAAACATGCTGTTTTTTAGTTATTTAATCAAGGTAAGCTGTACCAGAAGGGACCCTGTGCATTTCATTCAGTGTTGTAATTCTATTACCTAGTATTGTACTTGGTATATAGTTAACATTTCTTAAGTATTTTTGAATGGATAAATAAATTTTAATGTGTGAGTGACCAAAGTGGTGTTTTAAAATTGGAAATACATCATTCAGTTATTGGCAGAGTAGCTTAATTCTTCCATGACTTTCAAAGTAAAGTGGAAAAAAAAGTAGAGTGCTACTTCTTGGAAATTTAGGACTGTTCTCAAAAATACTGCAAATTGTATACCTAGAAAATTTATTGTGTTATCATTCTTTGTCCCTGATGGTATGTTCTCTTAATTAAAATTATTAAATTAGCTTTAAGCCACCTAAATCTGAATTGGGATGGGGGAAGTATGTAATCATATTGTGTTTCTGTATTTGGATAAGTTTTTGAGTATGCCATAACTTACTGTTTGACTCCTAATTTGTTAACAGATCAGCAAAACGATTATTGGACCAGATTGTTGAAAAAGGAAGACCAGCCCCTGGCTTCCACCATGGTGATGGACCAGGAAATGCAGTTCAAGAAATCATGATTCCAGCTAGCAAGGCAGGATTAGTTATTGGAAAGGGGGGAGAAACTATTAAACAACTTCAGGTATTATTCTGTAAAGTGATTAGTTTTCATCTGTTTTGAAGCCAGTTCGTTTCCACTTCCCTTTTGTTAATACATATGATTTCTGTGATTAATAGGAGCGGGCTGGAGTTAAAATGGTTATGATTCAAGATGGACCTCAGAACACTGGTGCTGACAAACCTCTTAGGATTACAGGAGACCCATACAAAGTACAGGTAAACTTGTTTATATTTTACATAGAAGGATTTGGGAACAGAATGGGCAAAACACATAAGAATATAATTACTGTGTTTTGAGACATGCCTTGTAAGTTGGGTGTTTTGTTTTGTGTTTTGTTTGTACTTCAGCAAGCCAAGGAAATGGTATTAGAGTTAATCCGTGATCAAGGTGGTTTCAGAGAAGTTCGAAATGAGTATGGGTCAAGAATAGGAGGAAATGAAGGGATAGATGTAAGTAAAAATACACATTTAGAGATGGTTGTATACTAATTCATAAATACATGTGTTTTTCTTGTTCTGTGTTACATAGCCTTCTTTAACATTGGATTCCTGCCCTCTCTCCCCGTAACTTACACCTTAGAGTACAGAATATAAATCTTGTTACCCTATTTGATGCAACCATAGTGCTGTATATACTTTTATGATTTGAGATAGATTAATTTTCAGGGAATAGCTTTCCTTAATACTTAGTTTTCTTTGTATAAGGTCCCCATTCCAAGATTTGCTGTTGGCATTGTAATAGGAAGAAATGGAGAGATGATTAAAAAAATACAAAATGATGCTGGTGTTCGAATTCAGTTTAAGCCAGGTGAGTACATATTTCGTTATCTATATGTTATTAGCAGTTACTTTTTTGACATGCATTGTTGCTAACTCAAACCATTTTGTTTGTTTTGAAGATGATGGAACAACACCTGATAGAATAGCACAAATAACAGGACCTCCAGACCGATGTCAGCATGCTGCAGAAATTATTACAGACCTTCTTCGAAGTGTTCAGGTTTGACAGATGTTAATATTTTTATTGTTTTGTTTTCATTTAAAAAATATTTTTTTCAAGTCTGAAAGGGTTCCCCCTCCCATTTAGTTTTGTATAAGAATTTGTCAGCTGATACTTTGTTAATAACTAAGAAGTTTAAGTTGCTTTGAGGTAGACCTCTTAGAGCAGGAAGGTAGCTATGTAAATGGATTGTCTTGCTTATCACAGTATAAAAATAGTGGGTATTACTTGTTGACTGTTTGGCAGTCATATCATCTCCCAGCCTCTTTAAACTTCTGGTTTAGGAAAATGAAGGTTGAGGAAGATAGACATGGAATGACTATCATGGAAAGAAGAGTACGCTTCTATGTTGACTTCGTTTCTTTCCTTCTCTAGGCTGGTAATCCTGGTGGACCTGGACCTGGTGGTCGTGGAAGAGGTAGAGGTCAAGGCAACTGGAACATGGGACCACCTGGTGGACTACAGGAATTTAATTTCATTGTACCAACTGGGAAAACTGGATTAATAATAGGAAAAGGCAATATATTTTAAACTCTTAATGTTTTGATATATAGGAAAAATTTAACACATGACTTGATTTTTCTGGATGCTATTTCTAATGTACACCAGTAGCAGTGATTTTTCCTTGGCTGTATCTTACGTTGATTTGTAACGAAAACATAAAGGAAGGGCCTTATATATAAAATAAAAATGTGATAGGAATCACATTGGCTACTAGAGAAGGGACCAACAGTTTTAATTATTAATGTAAGAAACTTTAGACCGAAAAAGTGGTTTGGAATTTTGTGTCATTTGCTTTTTCCTAACTCACATCTTCTTAAAATTTAGGATTTTTTAGTAAGTGTGTTGGTTTATGTTACTTGTAAAAGCAATTTATTTGAGCCAGATATTTTGATAAGTTAGTTTTTCTGTTATAATTCATTTTATGGTTGGGTATAGACATACTAATTTAGGTCTTAAAAACTTGAATGTGTTTTAGGAGAAGCATGAAATGCCTTATAGAACTTGATTTACAAGTGTAGAAAAATGGAAAATCTAAAAGAATATTGGCAAATGGAATACTGCTCAAAACTTTTATGGCTCTCTTAATTGTGACGATTTTCATTTAGGTAGTTACTTTTGTATCCTTTGGATCTTTAGAGAAATTACTGTGTTTTGATTTTAGGAGGTGAAACCATAAAAAGCATAAGCCAACAGTCTGGTGCAAGAATAGAACTTCAGAGAAATCCTCCACCTAATGCAGATCCTAATATGAAATTATTTACAATTCGTGGCACTCCACAGCAAATAGACTATGCGCGGCAACTTATAGAAGAAAAGATTGGTGTGAGTGTGCTTTAAACTTCAATTTCTAGGGGTGCATGCCTGGCTCAGTTGGTAGAGCATGTGACTCTTGATATCTAGGTAGTGAATTCAAGCCCCCACATTGGGCAGAGAGCTTACTTAAAAAATAAATAGGGACGCCTGATTCAGTTGGTTGGGCATCTGCCTTTGGCTGGGGTCGTGATCCTGGGGTGTCCTGGGTTTGAGCCCCACATTGGGCTCCCTGCTCAGCGGGGAGCCTGCTCCTCCCTATCCCCGACCCTGCTTGTGTGCTCAGTCTCTAATGAATAAATAAAATCTTTTAAAAAAAAAGAGTTCAAAAAAACCAAATACATAAATAGATAACTAACTTCAGCTTATACATAGATCCTCTTAGTTAAATAAGACATTAATTCACATGTTTCTGTAACTGCTATATAGAAAAATGCCAATTTCTAGTCTAAGACTATGTTTCATCATATAATGGGTACATGTAACATAGAGAAGACTCTCAAGCAGTGAAAAATAACCCAATTAAATATACATTTATAAGGGTTTAGAAACTTGTATTTGGGTGTGGATAAGTAGAAAACGGATAATGTTACTTGCAGATATGATGTTAGGGTTGGAGGGTTATCGAGTATACTTGAAGGGCATAGTTAATGGGAATTCAGTATTTAATAAGGGTTTATTTTACTCGGCCCTCGTGAGGCAGATATGAATTAAATGCATCCCCCACTTTAGAGTAGAAATTTACAAATCCAACTCTTAGACTGGCAGTGACTTTTAGGAAGTTTTAAAATATATACTACTTGAATGCTTTCCACCTCTACACATACCACACAGCTCTGATTCAGAATGTCTGGAACAGGGCCCAGCATCTAATTTTAAAAGGGTGTTCCAGGTGATTCAGACACATGGCCAAATTTGCAAATTTTTTCCTGGTGGTAGAACAGTTTCCTGGTGGTAGTACAAAAAATGCAGAGAGTCTTAAATGTGTTTGCTTATAAATGAGGAACTAGTGTTTTCTTGCATTCTTTTACTATAGAGCATAAGGGAGCATCTTAAGTTATTAATAACAATTAGAATTTCTTAGGAAAATTCTCCTTGATATTTGCCACACTGTGGATGGAATACAATAGAAGTTTCACCCTGTTTCTGTCTACAGAGAAAGACAAATAGGTGTATAAAAGATGCTTAAAGAATGTCTTGTAGGGGTTCCTGGCTGGTTCAGTCAGTAGAGCATGCAGCTGTTGATCTAAGGTTGTGAGTTCAAGCCGCACGTTGGGTGTAGAGATTACTTAAAAATAGAAAGAATGTATTCTAAAAATACATACAGATATTGTAAGTTCTGTGGTATGGACAGTAAGTGTTTAAAAACGTGAAGAAAATAATTCCGAACTTAGTAGTGGCAGAGATTGATGCTAGAAAAATGAACACGTCTTGGTTTAGGGTTTTATGATTCCTAACATGCATAGATCAAGGTTTCTAATAGCTTGATGGTCAAAAAGATAGATTGTTACTGAGAAGCAGTTTAGTATGGTGGTTAAGAGCATGAGACTCTGAAGTCATGTTGTTAGGATTCAGAATACTCCGACTCATTTACTAACTTTGGGACCTTGGAGTAAGCTATTTATACTCTGTTTGCCTCCCGTTTGTTCATCTATAAAGGAGAATAATAGTAGCTGCTTTACAGGATTGTAGGGATGAGTATCTGGCACATAGCCCTGTAAAAATAACTGATACTTTTTCAATAATCCATTTTTACTTTTTGGAAAGGATTGTTTATGGATAATGGAAGTGAGTGATAATGACAAGAGGTAGAGACTTAAAAGGATAAAATAATAAAAAGGATTTTAAAAGTCACGAAGTTTAGCTTCATTGTTTTGTAGTGAGAAAACAGACAACCAAATGTGATTTAAGCAGTTTGCTCCAAAATGTTGTTATCCGTATTAACTGCACGAAAGCTATGTTTAGGGTAGTTAAATCTAGGCTAGTGGTCTTTACAAGTTGGATTATGAACAGGAAAATCAACTAAGCATTATTAACTATGTAGTATGATATAAATATGAAGATCCAGGGACGCCTGGGTAGCTCAGTGGGTTAAAGCCTTTGCCTTTGGCTCAGGTCATGATCTCAGGGTCCTGGGATCAAGCCCCACATCGGGCTCTCTGCTCAGCGGGGAACCTGCTTCCCCCTCTCTCTGCCTGCTGTTCTGCCTACTTTTGATCTCTCTCTCTGTCAAATAGATAAATAAAATGTTTTTTTTTTTAAAGTAGATGTAGAACAGATACAGAAAAAAGCTAGAGACAACATATTTCCATGACTAAAATGATAAAGGAGTGGTAAAAGAACTATAAAAAGGAAAGCAAAATAACAGAAGGGAATAGTCTGAAAGGAATAGAATGGAAGGTAAAGGAGACATTTCAGTTCTTTGCTGATGCTGTTGATTGTAATGAATTTACATGTCTCAGTGTGGTAAAGAGTTTAAGCAACATGAATGAGGAGATGAAGGAAAATCTAAAATATGTTGCTTGTGGCTGTATAAAAGGGTAGAAGTGGAAGGTTAATTTAGCCTTTGACTTGTTCAGCCATTACCATTTTTCTGATTTTTTTTTTTTGTACATCTTTTTGCTTTTTTATAGGGTCCAGTAAATCCTTTAGGGCCACCTGTACCCCATGGGCCCCATGGTGTCCCAGGCCCCCATGGACCTCCTGGGCCTCCAGGGCCTGGAACTCCAATGGGACCATACAACCCTGCACCTTATAATCCAGGACCACCCGGTCCTGCTCCTCAGTAAGTACTGAGTTTGGTTCTGGGGTCCCCACCCGCCCAAAGATTGTAGCTTTTGGTAAATTGCATTTTTATATTTCTTTCTTTCTTTTCAGTGGTCCTCCAGCTCCTTATGCTCCCCAGGGGTGGGGAAATGCATATCCACACTGGCAGCAACAGGCCCCTCCTGATCCAGGTAAAAGACATTTATTATTCATGTGTAATCTATATTATCATTCCTGTTATCCTCCTAGATTTTCTAATGTCAGTTCTACATTGTGTGCATTTTCTGCACTGACTCTTTCAGCGGGAGTTTAAGTTTCTGGTTTTACCAGGGTGTATAAGAATGGTGTGTATATGGTTTGTTTTCAGTGAACTTTTTTCTACTTGAATTTGGCTTTCTGCCCTTTCAAAGTGATAAGAGCAGAGTGTTAAAAGCCAGAAGCTACAGGAAGAAATACAATGTCTTAGTTTTAAATACTTGTGCCATCAAAATGTGTAATGTGTTAATTGTGACATTATCCATGAAAGAATAGTGTACGTTTATTTATAGAATTATCTGAGTGTCTAATGGAGCATTTAATACTTGAGTATTAAACTTTGAAGTTCTCAAATATAAAAGCCGTTTTCATATTCCTGATATGGTAACCTCACATATTAGTAAAAAAAACAGGGCTGTGTTTAATGTCTGCATGTTAGAACTCAAAAATACATTAAGTTATATGTTTTCTCTGTTCAGATCTGGATTTTATATATACATTCTATTTTGTTCCTGCATCTGCCATCTTCTAGTTTTCTTTTCATGATGGTCAAAGGGGCATTCATCAAAATCAGTTAACACTTATTTATGATCCTTCTTTCTCACCTACTACCTAACTTTTAGGCCTCTTTCACTGGAGTAGTTTCAAGGAAGGTACCGAATTATGGATTCCTTTCCACACTAGTGTATTTATTTTTTAAAAGAACCTAAATAATTTATTTAAATGCAATTGTTTTAGTGAGTTTGATTAAACATTCTTGTTATTTAAATGTGGCCCTATATCATAACATACTTTAATTTCATAGGAAGTATGCTCTTTGGAATATGATTGCACAGCATGACAATAAGCAAATAACTACAACTACACTCATTCAAGAAACAACTTCAGTGTGCTAGGATGTGGGTATGCAAAGATTAGTTTATGTTCTGTAGCAGAAAAGTGCACTCTAAATGTTAGCAATGCTATGATGGACTGAGAGTTAAATATAATTTAGTGTATAATAGTATAAACATCTTTTAAGAATGAAAAGACTTTCCATTCCCTCTTGTAAGCCAACTGGGATGCTGTGATTAGACAGAAAAATCACATAATTTAAGAGATTCAAGAGTTTGAGTGAGTTAAGTGGTGAATTTATATTGAGAAACTTGGATTTGTAGGATTGCACCTTATGAGCACTGTTTGGATCAGTAACATGATTGAGAGAATGTTGGGAATTAGAAGTAGTCTCTATCACAGTCTTGATTTCACACTGGGAGTAGTAGTGATGAAGTCACCACATTAAGAATTGGTTGATGAATATGGCTTACAGCATTGCCTTTGGAAAATGAAGTAACCCATTTAGCTAAAAGATGGTAGCTAGGGTTAGATATTGCTTATATTAGATTTTGCATTATGTAAAAACCAAAATAATTTATTTAGATAAAACTTCTGGTGAACTTATTAACATTCTGGTATTTAAATGTGGCCATGACAAAGTTCGTATTTTCTGAACTAAATCTTTTTCTATTAAAAAAAAATGGGCTGGGGCGCCTGGGTGGCTCAGTGGGTTAAAGCCTCTGCCTTCGGCTCAGGTCATGATCCCAGGGTCCTGGGATCGAGCCCCGCATCGGGCTCTCTGCTCAGAGGAGAGTCTGCTTCCTCCTATCTCTCTCTGCCTGCTTCTCTGCCTACTTGTGATCTCTGTCTGTCAAATAAATAAATAAAATCTTTAAAAAAAAAAAAAATGGGCTATTGGGGCGCCTGGGTGGCTCAGTGGGTTAAGCCTCTGCCTTCGGCTCAGGACATGATCTCAGAGTCCTGGCATCGAGTCACACATCGGGCTCTCTGTTCAGCCGGGAGCCTGCTTCCCCCCCCCCCACCCCCCGTCTGCCTCTCTGCCTACTTGTGATCTGTCAAATAAATAACTAAAATCTTTATTTTAAAAAAATGGGCTATTAAGAATTTATGTAGAAGTCAAGAACTTAGATTTCAGAGTGAGACGGACCCAGATAAGTCCTAATGCTACACCTTTAATAATTGTGTGATAGTAAGCAAGTTTTTTAATCCCTCTGTATCTTTTTTCTTACCTTTAAATGATAAATGAAGGATAATCTTGTTGAATGAATAATTAATAAAATCTCTGTGTATGTATTAGTTATGTCTAACTGTTGGACTGGTTCTGTTACACCCTCTACACATTCAGGAGTTCAAGTATCATTTTCTGAAGTCTATTTTGTCTTAGTTTCTCTGGCCAGAGATGGTGTCAAATGAAATACTTGTATTAGTATATAGGTAATGACATAATTAAGATATAAACGTGCAGCTTAGAAAAGCAGTGCATTTATTACTTGAGGAAGGTTTGGAGGGTGGATTATGCCTTAAAATTGTATTACCTTAGTCATTGTATCACTCTAGAAATCCTTGCTCCTTTTTTCTCAAACTTTATTAAACAGCTGAGACTTGATGCCCATTTGGGATAAAGGCTACACAGATTTCATATAGATACAGACTTTGGCTAAGGAAATTACATTTTCCTTGATGATATAAACTTTAAGATGTATCTGTAGTGTCATACGATATTCTTCGTATAAAGGACAGAATCAAGAAGAGATTTCTGTTTCTGACTGAGAGATCTCAAACTGTTACTGCATGAGTTTGATTTTTATGAAGGATGAAATGAGGAAGCATAACATGGTCAAAGACCAGATAATGAACATGGCAACCTCTGAAAAGTACAAGCAGTTTATTGTGTTGGAAAAATATTGACAAATGGGGAAAGATAGGGCTAGAATGGGAAGGACAACCCAAGGGGTTAGATCATTAAAGATACTGAGTGGTGATAATGTTGCACTTAAAAGCTTTGACAACCCTGAAGATTCTGTGGGATTAATGAAGAATTTCAAGTAGGGCAATAATATCAAGTGTATGTTTTAAGATAATTATTATAAAATATGAGATGAAATACAGCTAATCTGTTTATTTTTTAAGATTTTTATGTTGGCTCTACATCCAAAACAAGATAGGACAGAATTCATAGTTCTCAGATAATTGTTTCTTGTACACATTAGTTCCTAGAAATCCTTTGTTTTAGTCATTTGCCATGTAGAACTGCTATGCTTGAGGCAAAACCAGTTTAGGAAAAAACTAAGGCAGCAGGATGGTTTGAGGCAAAGCATCAAATTTGGAGACAAAAGATGTTTATTCATATCCTAATTCTGCCACTCAGCTAATTTTCTAGGAACATCATTTAATGTCTGTACCTCACTTTCTGTAATTAAAGCTAATGAATGTTAATTAATAGAATTGAAAACTTCCCATTTACTATTTATTTTTTGATAGCCATTTAATTTGTGGTCTACCAAAGAGTATGTATGTGTGTGAGAGAGAGATTACAGACTTAAGATGCAAACGTTGAACTTGTGTTTATTCTAGCTAAGGCAGGAACGGATCCAAATTCAGCAGCTTGGGCTGCCTATTATGCTCACTATTATCAACAGCAAGCACAGCCACCACCTGCAGCTCCTGCTGGTGCACCAACTACAACCCAAACCAATGGACAAGGTAACTATGGTAATTAAAGAATTTATTTTGTATGTAGAAGTAGAAACTTGTGTTTGGAATTATATATGAAGTACATCAATGTATAAAACCTAAAATTTTACAATATTTAATTATAGCTTCAGTGAGCAGACTTTCCGTTTTTGAAAATAAGTTTGAAATAATTGCAAACTTTCATAAAAGTTTAAGTTGTAAGATACATTACAGAACACCCAGGTAACCTAGTTGTTAATATTTTATCCCCACTGCCCATTTGTCCCATTATCCTGTCATACATGTCCATATCCATTACCAGTAGTTTTTCAGGACCATTTTAAGATCAGGCTGTACAAATCATGTCCCAGTAACCTTAAGTACCCTTTCTGCGTTACTCCAAAAATACATTACCATCATACAGCGCTCTTAAACAGTCTTTCAGCATTGATACATCATTACTGTCCCAATGCAGAACCCTTACTCAGATTTCACCAGTTGTCCCCTCAGTTTCTCTTTTCTGATCCAGGATCCCATCCGGCAAAAAAGGACATACATTTTGTTTTATGTAATGACAATCAGATCAACATAGGTTCCTTCAACTTTTTCTCACAATAATAACGTCATGCTCTTGAGGTCCTATTTGGGAGTTGGCAGTACCTCAGAAATAATCCTGTGCTCTTAGGCATTATAGCATGGGGTCACATAATGTTGACCCGCTTCATTCCTGGAGATGGTAACCATAGTCACTTCATCATGTTGGTGTTCACCAGGTTTCTATACCATAAAATTGCATTTTTCTCTTTGAAAGTAAAAATTGTTGGAGAATTTATACTGAGATTATAGGAGTATTCTATTCCTAACAGCAGCTTTTATGATAACATTCCTGATTCAGCTACAACTATGATGATAATTTTTTTTACATCATTCATTTTATATTTATATATCTTAGTTGGTATTGTACTGTAGAGAAGAAGTATTTTTTCTATTTATACCAGTATGGCCTCCTGTTTTATTCAACATGTCATGTTTTAAACTGTCTATACTATTTGATTATCAGATTGCCCTAGCTTTGGCCAATCAGGAGTACCTTCAAGATGGCTCCTGTATTCTTTTGACATGTCTGTCATTCTTTTAAGCACATCCTTACTTTCTTGCACAATAACATTATTTTGTGCTTCCGGGGCTCAAGCTTCTAGAATCAGCCATTTTTCCAAGGAGCCCTGATTCCGTTTAATAAATACCATCATCCAAGAAACCAAACTCAGTGTGTTCATTGCTACCAAGGTGTCATTGCTTCTAAATCCTTTCAGCATAAAGAGCTCGGAAATTTACCTGTATGTATAGCTGTATACACAGTCATGAAACAACATAAATATTTATACATGTATATATTTCTAAGACTGTTGTATCCCCTGTAATTCCATTATAACACTTCAGGGTTCTTTGTAGCTTTTTCCCTTTCCATGCTTATAAATTGTGAAAGACCTTGTATATTCAGTGGTTTCCTTATTTAACCAATGAATTAAATGCTCAGTGTAACTATTCCATTGTATATAGACAGATTTTTTCTGTTGACTGTCTCTATACCTCCTGCTTCCTGTGTCTTTGGCAGGAGCAAGAATCCCACTACCACACAGCGCCCTCAGTCACTATGGCAGGCTGCTCCCAATTTCTCCACTCAAGGAACAGAAGAATAGGGCCAAGAATGTCTTTGGAAACCCTTAATCTTATTTGTTTTTGTTTTTCTTAAACAAGGAGATCAGCAGAATCCAGCTCCAGCTGGACAGGTTGATTATACCAAGGCTTGGGAAGAGTATTACAAGAAAATGGGTATGTTCTACATTTCTTTTTTATACATTTAATTAAATTGAAATTGAAGCATTTAGTAAATACCACATAGAAGGATGAAGATTCCGATAAAATGATGTTTGAATTTTTTTTTATTACTGAGACTTTTTTTATATTTAACTTTTAAAATCTTGAAGTGGAGAATAGTTGAATGCATTCTAAAATCACTGAACTTTTAGGTGTATTGGGATTGTTACAGATAATTCTTAAGTTTGTGGTCACATAACAAAAGTCTTTTTATTTCTAAATGCATTTGTCAACCACTTAATAATTGAAACTAAAAATTGCTCCATTGGCACACATAACACTGGATATTACTTGGCTTTTGTCAAAGATAGTTACATGTATTAGAAGCCTAACTGGCATAGGTTAAATTCTGGAGTACCAAGCAAAAAAAGGGTTGTATGTGGTATTTTCTGCTGCAAACTAAAACTGACAGTGACATACTACGTTAATTACTTAAATAATATTTGCATATATGAGAAAGGAAAAAGTCACCCAGAAAAGCCATTTCCATTCAGTAATTGTAGAGCATATACTACATGCCAGACGTAACGATAGAGCTGAGAATGTGATTATGGGCATAATAGCTAGGAGCCCCTGCCCTTCTGGTTATATTCTCATGGAGGATACAATTGTTAATCAAGTACTTTGCCAAGTATATTACTACGAACTGTTATGAATGAAAAGAACTATATTTCCACTAACACATCATTTGTATATCTACTGAGTGGTAGCAGCAGATTTTGAACTCCCAAGAGGGCATAAATCCCAAGTCTATCTCCCAAATTTGCTTTTTCCTGGGGCCACTTGGAACCTGGGAATTATTACTGTTAACTCTTGAATAACAATGTAAGTTTGAACTTAATGGGACTACTTATAAGCAGATTTTTTTTCACAGTACTGTAAATGAATTTTCTTTATGATTTTCTCAGGGTTTTTGTTCTGTTTTGTTTTTTGGCTTAGTCTTTTGTAGAATACAGTATGTAATACTTAAACGTGCAAAATATGTGTTAATTGTGCTATCTGTAAGACCTCTGGTCAACAGAAGGCTATTAGTTCGGTTTGGGGGAAGTCAAAGTTACATTTGGGTTTTCAACTGTACAGGGGTGGGTACCCATAATCCCTGAGTTGTTCAAGGGTCAGATGTATTTCTGAACAAATAGTTTTTGCTTTTAGAAGCCTGTGGTGTTATTCATCTAAAATTAACACATGTATACCACAGCCACTTGTCATAAAAGAAAGCTAAACAGACTTATCCATCTTTCACTGGTATAGAACAGATCTAAAGATGGTAGAATTTTCTCATAAGATACAGTCTATTTGAGATTCTCAATGTAAATTTCAATGTTTTCTTTGCCCATGGATGTTTTGTCATCCTCCACAGAAAGAAGAAATTCCAGAAGGGTAGTTATATTAATCTTTTTGTGTAGGATACATTTACCTGGTGATAAGAATGTTCTACAGAGCTTGATAATCTGTTTAAAGAAAGAAAAATTGTTTTCCTCCCAAACAGTATATTCTATTTAGGGTGATAATATAATTTATTGTTCAGATACGGATAGTTCGAGAATAACTGAGGATGCTATTCTGTCAGAACTTAGGGTCACCCTAACTTTTATGAAATAGTGTCACCATTTTAAAGATTTGAACATTTGCAATTGCTGCAGTTAAAGATCATTGGATCTGACTTGAATTTTCACAGTGGTTAATATGCCAGAGATGTTCCCTATGTTAATATTAAAAATGAGTAAAAATAGGCCTGTTTGTGGACTAGAGGATTATTGGGGAATTGGTACAACTTGTGTTTTTGTGTATTTTATCATTCATTTGCAGCATAGCCATTAATTACTGTTTAACTTTTTTATACTTGCCCAAAGTGAGGGGTGTGTGTTGAATGTAATCTGTGAGGTCTTAATACCATTCAGATTTTTAAGGGTAGACTTCTCACCTTGCCATTCTTTTTTCATTTTCTATCTTTACTCTGCTGACTGTAAAGTTTTAATTTTATACATAGTGTCCTGGACTCTGTTGAATCCTTTGTGGAGAAAAAAAAGTTACAGAAATAATTAAATAATACTGTATTTGGCTTAAGAACCTCCTTATCCCCTACCTTTTTTTTTTCCCCCTTTCCCCAGTTGTGTGTTTTTCTGTAGCATGACAGTGATCAGCTGTTAATTTATGGAGCAAAGGATCCTCTCACTTATAAATCTTAAAATAATGTTAAATTGCCAGGTCTTTAATGATAGCTACAAAGTCCATTTTTTCCTTTAAAAGTTCTTTTGTTAAATGACTGGTTGCTTTACCCTCATTTCTCCTAGGTGCATTACTGGTCTTTAGGTAGGATACTTTTAGAACAACCACACATAAGTGACCTTAAATTAGTTTTTAAGATTGATCTTATGTATGTATGTTTCTGTGTATGTATTTAAAGTAATCTGTATACCAACGTGGAACTGTAACACACAACCCTGAGATCAAGTCATATGCTTTACTGAGACAGTTTTCAAAATTGTTTTATTTTACTTTTTTATTAAGATTTTTATGTTTATTTCAGAGAGAGAGCTTGTGAGCAAGGAGAGGGACACAGGGGGAGAGAAGCAGACTCCATTCCAAGCGTGAAGCCCAATGCGGGGCTTGACCCCACCACCCTCAGATCATGACCTGAGCCAAAATCAAGAGTCAGGTGTTTAAGTGACTGAGCCAGCCAGATGCCCTCAAAATTTTAAATGAAAGGGAAGAAAGTAATAAAATATTAGGGAGATAAAAATCTTTATCTCCAAATCCAACTCCCTTGTTTGGAGAGGCCAAGTTGAACTCTTCCAGTGGCAGAGCTGGGATTTTCTAGGACTTTGGACATTCCAGTTCCCAATCCAGTGTCCTCTTTACCAAACTGGACAGATTGTCCCAGCTTTTGAAGGCAAATTTCAGCTGCTTCTCTTTTATTATTATTATTATTTTTTTTTTTTTTTTAAGATTTTGTTTTCTTGACAGAGATCACAAGTAGGCCAGGGGGTGGGGGAAGCAGGCTCCCCTCTGAGCAGAGAGCCCGATGAGGGGCTTGATCCCAGGACCCTGGGATCATGACCTGAGCCAAAGGCAGAGGCTTAACCCACTGAGCCACCCAGGTGCCCTTCAGCTGCTTCTCTCTCTCTTTTTTTTTAAAGATTCTATTTATTTATTTCACAGACAGAGATCACAAGTAGGCAGAGAGGCAGGCAGAGAGAAAGGGGGAAGCAGGCTCCCTGCCGAGCAGAGAGCCCGATGGGGCTCCATCCCAGGACTCTGGGGATCATGACCTGAGCCGAAGACAGAGGCTTTAACCCATTGAGCCACCCAGGCACCCCCTCAGCTGCTTCTCTTAACACGAAATACTAATACTATAAATTTGTCATTGTTTGCTTATAAGTAAATAAGCCTCTTGAAACAGGAGTTAAGTTTTTAAATCTGAATTTCCTAGGATTTTTTTTTGAAGATCTTATTTATTTGACAGAGAGAGATCACAAGTAGGCAGAGAGGCAGGCAGAGAGAGAGAGAGGGGGAAGCAGGCTCCTTGCTAAGCAGAGAGCCCAATGTGGGGCTTGATCCTAGGAACCTGAGATCATGACCTGAGCTGAAGTCGGAGGCCCAACCCTCTGAGCTACCCAGGTGCCCCTGAATTTCCTAGGATTAACACCATCAGAATTTAGGAGAGAAAGTCATAAAGATGAGATTATAGAGAGTTAATGAAGGAACTTTTAAATTTTAATAAGGAATGGCAGCCAACATGGAAGGGTAGGTATTTTTGAAGCTAGAATGAAGGAAACTTTTGTAATAAGTAAACACCCTAAAGAGATGAAACAGGATTTCAAAGTAGAGACTGGCAGTTACCCTTTGGAAGAGGGATAGTGAAGGCATTTTTGGAAAAGCTGAGAGTTGAGGAAAGCCCTTACAGTGTTAAACACTGGTATGGTAGACTGTCACCTTTGGTGTGTGGTACCTTAATGGGTAAAGGCCCAGGGGGGTGGGTGGTGGAGGGTGAGTGGTAGGGAAAAAGTGGTTGTGGGAAAGATGCAGGTGTTTAGATAATTTAGAGTGTTGGGCTGTAATAATAGAATGTTATATATGAACTCTAGGCCAAGTCTCATTTCTTGAGTAAAATGAAAGTAAAACCAGGGCGCCTGGGTGGCTCATTGGGCTAATCCTCTGCCTTCGGCTCAGGTCATGATATCAGGGTCCTGGGATCAAGCCCCACATCTGGGCTCTCTGCTCAGCAGGGAGCCTCCCCCTACCCCTCACCTGCCTCTCTGCCTACTTGTGATCTCTCTCTCTGTCAAATAAAAAATCTTTAAAAAAAAAATGAAAGTAAAACCTCTTACATATTGTAAACTTATATGTAAATATTAAGTAGTGTTCTAAAGCATAAACTAAAACTATCTGGCCTCAAAACAGTTTTTGAACCTAAGGATAAAGGGAGCAAGCTAAGGACATTCGTAAAAGGGGCACAGAGGCACAAAAGGATAGGAGATAGCCAAGTCTGAAGTAGATAGGAAGAGTTCTTCGGTTACTTTCTGCAGGGCAAGATGAATCACATTTGTCCCTCAGATTGGAGGCATGAGTTGAGTTTTGCTTTGGACACCTTCAAGATTGGAGTGTGAGGTGGTTACAACTTACCAAGTGTTTATTTTCCTTAGAGTCTAACATGTTTACCTTTCACTTTCTGCAGAAATACTTGAGGGGAGGGGTAGGAAACATTTGAGTTTGATGAATTTTCTTAATGTGTCTCCCTGTTTCTACCATCTTATATTATTTTGCCTCTAATAAAATGAGTATCTTGACAGTGATCAGTTCCTTTTTGTAAACCCAAAGTAAGAATTGTTGTTGTCTTAACCAAGTTTGGCCTTAAATCAGCAGGTTTTCAGGTGTATAGTTTGTAAGAGACATTGTGTAGTTTTATTACTGTTGATAATCTGGGGTATTTGGCAGTTGTCATTGAAACCTGTTTCAGATTTGCTTTAATTTAGTGTCTCCTCATAGGATCAGTATGTTAAACTCAATTCCTCTTTGAAGAGCATTAGGAAAAGCAAAAATAAGAATTTTGTTTGTATTACATGGGATTTCTCTGCTGTTATTTATAGAACGGAAGTTTTTCTTGGGTTTTTAAAGTTACTCATAAATGTTAAAATTCTGTTCACTTAATTGCTTCTATTCAGCCAGTTTTGTGATGCTGATAGACACTAATTTTTGCAACTATATAAAGTTAACCTTGTTGGCAATATCCAGCAAAACATAAAAACAGCTTTCTCTGTGTCTGTGCTTCAGTATTTTTTGTCTAGCCATAATTCATCAGGTCAAGTAATTACAAGCTAAATAAAATTCTCAAAGGAGCTAAATAAGAAAACACGTGTTCTTTCTCACCACCTTTTTATTTCAAAAATTTTATACCTTCAGAAAACTGTAAATTAATACAGCAAACACCCATATTTATATTTTCCACTCAAATTCAACACTTCTTAAAAGCTTACCGTATGTACATTGTGTCTGTGTGTGCGTACGTATTAAATATTGTGCCTAAGCCTTTACAAAGTTAAGTTGCAGACTTAGATTATTTCAGTAATATTATCAATGTACACACCATATTTAAATTTCCTTGATTGTTAGGAAAGTGTCTTTTGTTGCTGTGTGTGTGTTTCGTTAAGTTTTTTTTAATCCGGAGCCAATTTTAGTTTTGTGAATATATTTAGGTTGTTAAGTCTTTTTAGTCTCTAAATTCAGAAGTTACACTGCCTAGAAAAAGCTGCTCATGAAAGCTGTGGGTTTTACGTTTCATTGGTCACTGTTGCTTTGAGCCTCTTCAGTAATTGTCAGGTTACTTTTAATATAATTTTGTTGTGATTTGAATACATTGGATTGCAACTCTTAACATCTTATTAAAAGGTATCTTGAAGATTAGTCTTTGTACATACAGGTTATAGGTTACTAATCAGGAAACAAAAATCTCGACAAGATCTTAAAAAAATAAAATATTTAATAGCTTTCAGGTGGGGTTTTTTTGTTCTCAAAAATGTTCTTTTTCTCCATCAAGGATTTACATTTTATTTAAAACCTATAGTGTAACATCCAAATGAATAAGACAAAAAAATAAAGGTCTTTCCCATCCCTGTGCCCAGCATCAGTGTACCAGGGTACCATAGATTGCTTACTTGAAGTACTTTCCAAACTCATTTTAGAACATTAATTTTCAAATTTTGCATTGATTTAAGATACTTAAATCTTCTCTTTTCCTAGTTAAAACTATGTGGATGGTTTCGATTTTGTTTTTTATTGATAGTCATACTCTAGAACTAAAAGTTAATGATTAATATAAGGCAAAAAGAAACAGCATTCTGATTTTTTTTGAATTGCAAGAATCGTTTTCTAATGACTATTTAAAATAAAATAGGACACTAATGAATATATAAAATAAAACAGGAGCAATTCTGACCCTCTGTGCTTGTCTTTATAACCTGTACTTACAGTGGATATAATTTTGTATTAAAATTTAGGGGGTTTTTTTTAGGTCAACAAGGGCAGACACAAGATTATTCAAAAGCTTGGGAGGAATATTACAAGAAGCAAGGTATTGTTTTTATTAGAAATGAGATTCTTTTGGGCTTTTAATTGTGGTTACAGCAACAAAGTTGTTCTGTTTTCTCAAAGGTCAAGCAGTTCCTGCTCCTACTGGTGCTCCACCAGGTGGTCAGCCAGATTATAGTGCAGCCTGGGCTGAGTACTATAGACAACAAGCAGCCTACTATGCCCAGACAAGTCCCCAGGGAATGCCACAGCATCCTCCAGCACCTCAGGTATACTAAACTTGCTAATGTATTGATTTCTGATCCAATCATGTTTTCTGCATGTTTACTGTTTTGTCTGGGATTATGTTTGCCTTTTTAATTTTTATCTGGCATAGCATAACTAAATGAAGTACCTTGGTGTATTGTTTGGGTTTTTGTTTGTTTTTTATAAATGCTTTCTGGCATCTGAGTGCTGAATATTTCTACAATGCCTTTGATTTTAAAAATAAATTTTTTTCCCCCAGGGATTTGCAAATCATGCAAGAAGCCACCACCATTTATATTAACCAGTTTTTCTTTCTTAAAGGATTCACTCCTGAGTTAGCTCCATTTAAAGGATTTTCTTTAACTTTTTGTGTATTTCTTATGTATCTCTTCTGCACAGGGCCAATAATAAGAAGTGGACAATACAGTATTTGCTTCATTGTGTGGGGGAAAAAAACCTTTGTTAAATATATGGATGCAGACGACTTGATGAAGATCTTAATTTGTTTTTGGTTTAAAATAGTGTTTTTTTTTGTTTTTTTTTTTTTTTTTGAAAATGTACAAAATAATCTATCACTACTGATAGGAGGTTAATATTTCTGTGTAGAAATGAAAATTGGTTTGTTTTTAGTATTTAGTGTAGATGTACACATTCCAGCAAATGTATTTGCAACTATTATGTGGTCAATGCTTTGTGATATAAATGTACTTTTTCAATGTATACTTTCACTTTTAAAATGCCTGTTTTGTGCTTTACAATAAATGATATGAAACCTCCTGTGTCGGTAAGTTGGATATGTGGGTATTTAAAGGATTCATAATTTCTTAGCAGTGATAAATTAAGATACATATACACAAATATATAAGCTTTCCCCATGAAATATTAATTGAGTTTTTAAACACTGGCATGTTTTTTCCCCCTTGCAGTATAGTAGTAGATTGGAGGATCTTTTCCATTTATTGTATTTGGCTGTTTCAGCACAAGTAATCCTGATATCTTCATTTTTTTTCCCTTCTGTTTGATTAAAACCTGCATGTGTGTACAATGATCTTTTGGCATACTTCCATTGAATTAACAGTGAAATTTCCTTTTATACATGACCACTGTTTCAGATCTGTACTGCTGCTATAACAGTTAACCTTTCTGTTCTTAATTTAATAATTACTTGATTTCCAAGACTGTTTCAGCATAACTAATTTTAAACAGTTTTCGGATAGTGAGTATGAGTAGTTGAATAAGAAGTTTTTTCATGTAAAGAAACTTTCAATGTATACAATATTAGTGTGTTTCTTTTTAAATTTAGGGTAGAAAAGTGAATAGTATGCAAAAAGTATAGCTACAGTGCATCTGCCATTGAAACATTATTGGGGTATGGAAATGTTCAAGCTTTTTCCTTTTTTTTTTTTTTCTTTTTGCAGTATAGATAAGCTTTGTTTTGTAAATGCACAAGTCCAATCATTGAATCAACTTGATTTTTTATGTACTTGAAATCACTTTATTACTCTATAACACTCATGCTGAAGTTCTGATATTTTGTTGAAATCCATTGTTTACTCTTTGCATATTTGTTGGCTCTTTGCATATTAATATATTAGACTACATGCAAATACAGTCTGTCTTGCCATTGTCTGTTGAAGTGCAGGTTTGATCCAGCCAGTATAGAACTAGCTCTGTAGGGGTGAGGAGGACTGTGCTGTGTATCATCCTTGATTGTGTTCCTTCAAGGAGCATTGCACTGTAAGTACATCAGAATGACAAATTGATGAACTGCAACAGTATCTTTTTGTCAATGTTCCACATAATGTAAATGCCATACTTTGTGTGAATATTATGTTGGAATACAGTGCTGATATCTTGGAAAACCATAACTGCTTCTTAATTTAACATAGAATAATACATAGGTCTGTATTTTTTTTTAAGTGAGCTTAATGGGTAAGTATTTTTTATATGCTTTAGCTATAGCTAAAGAAAACTGATCATTAAAATTGAATAGTATTACTCATTGGTGCTCCTAAAAATATTGTTTTTCAGTGTACAGTATGCATATCTTCTATATTAATATGAAAGACTTGAATGTATCAGACAGAGAAGTGGTTTTCAGTTTGCAAATATTAAGCAATGTAGCAGTTTAACACCATTTCATAAATATATATTAATTCTTTCATTGGTGGGGAGCACCAGTTCTGAATATTAAGGGAGATGTACAAGGACATAAATGTTGAGATTACTTATAGGGTAGAAGATAGCAGTTCAGTTCATTATAGATATTTTGAAATGTTTTTGATTGTTTCATAGAATCTGGAGTGACTTCCCTTGCCCTTATTTAGATATGGATATGTAGTTCTAGTTTCAAGTTTAATAGTTAAGGAGTTAGTTATGTGTTATCTTTAAGAGTAGGGTTATTGACATGAACAATTTCAGTATTTTGCATGATACTGTTTTATAGATGACCTTTTAGGAAAGTGGTGCATTTATTAATTAAACTGAAGAAATAGCTCAGTTGGATTCAGTTTCATAACTCACAAATTGGAGGCTGTTGATTTTGATTCATTTAAGGTTTAAAATCTTTATTAATTGCAAACAGTGCAATTATTTATACTTCACAGTGCCTTCCCAGACCTTCCACCTTAGGTTCTGCTGCAAAAAGCAACAGGTAAGCACAACCTAAGGACATATATAAATAAATATTTCAGTACATTAATGTTGTCCCTGTGAGGTTTTTGTGCTTGTGTAATTCAAAAGCAATCTGCTACTGCTTCCCCAAAATGTATTTTGTTATTTATGCTACCATTTCAGTGGAAAGTCTGTAAGTTGTTCAAACAACTGTTTACATTTCTGGGTAATGGTTTTTGGGGGTTTTTTTTGTGTTTGTTTTTTTGTTTTTAATGAAAAAAAGAAAAATGATGAGTAGATTGCTGCTGTAATTGAACTACATCCAAACTTTTTGTAATCTTTTCCCAACTATAGAAGGATTGTTAAAATTAAGAAAGAGCAATTACATAGTTTTCTAGATTTAGGATATCACTTGATTAGAAACTTCAACAGCCTTCACAGTCTTTTTCTGATTGACAGGACATTTTCTTTGCCCTCCAAAGCTATGGAGTCTTTCTTTTTGTCTTATTCTTGAAGTATAATAATTCAGTAAGGACATTATGGGTCAGAGTTTTATTATATGACTTTTTTTTTTTTAGACAATTCAGTTTTCATAATTTTTATATACACTGAAAAAGAAAAATTTATAAGGAATATTGGCAGTATGTTTTTGTTAAGGCATGTGCATCAGTGAAATGTTAACTGTATAGCAAATAACCTTTCATAATCTGTATAGCAACCAGTATTTTTCTGATTTATAATATTTTAATAACTGACGCTGCATTTATTTTAATTTTTGCCAGTTTAAAATGTTTGTGTTCTTATAAATGATTTTAACTGGTACATATTTTGAGTTAAGATGAATGTATTAAAGCAGCATCATATCAGTTTTGTTTATTCAATTTCTAAAATGTGCTGATCCTTTTTAAAAACTCCTGCTTATCTCTGCAACAAAGAAAAATATTCAAAAATACTGCCTTCATTTTCACACACAGTGCTGAAGATGCTGCAAGCACCAAATCATAGCTCATAAAATCAGGTCCTGAGATAGTTACCCATAAAGAGGAATCCTTTGAGTGTATGCCATTGGTGAGCCGATGAGCATGGACCATAGAAGGGCTCAATGTAGAAGGTAAAATTGGCAAATCATAATTGAAAAATATGAAATGTATTCCCATACATAATATGGTATAGGGTGTAATGTACCTGCTTTTGATCACTTTTCATTTTAAAGTGCTATTCGCTTGATCTTAAATGTTCCATGAACTGTTAAATTTTGTAAGTTGTGTAGTTACTGCACCACATTTATGTGTGTGTATGTATTGTTTTAATAGATGATAGGTATGTTAAGAATGGTAATATAAAGGAGCTCTTTGAAACTAAAGAGCCTGTCAAGTTTTGGTTAGTCGTAGTATGCATTTTTATAAAATATAGATGAATGCTAATAGATTTTGGGGCATTGTTTCTATCTCGAGAGTTTTTTTTAATTCATTACCATAAGCCTTCACTGATACTGCATTTTTTTAAAATGGCGCTAATCTTAACCATGAAATAAATGGAAAGCAGAAAAGGTGAGCCAGTTGACTTGAATGCAATGGATGTTAGGAGTGGTAGAAACAATGTTTAGATTGAAATTTAACTGATTTATTTTATTTAGCACTTAAAAAAAACTTGACAATGTGTTTCGTTTTTTAAAAGATATTTTAGTGTGGTGAAACGTAGAATTCTTATGGTTTCATGTTTCTTTTAGAAATGAAAAGTATACTTTTACTTAATTAATGAAAATGGTTTTAATACTAAAACTAGAGATTTAATACTAGTTGTTTATAAACATTATAAAATATTTCCTTAGCCAAGCACCTTGGTAGTTAATTCATAAGGGTGGGTTTGGGTAGGAGTAGCAGAGTACCTTAAGAGGGAAATAGGAATATATGCAGAAGTGATAACATTTGTTTGAATACTCTGCCAGGAGAACCAGCTCTACCTGGAAACATCTGTTGTCTAGAATAAGGATGTAGAAATGATCAATGAGGATGTCTTTTTGTTTTCTGAAAATTCTGCCTCATTTTAAAATGTATTTTAACAATACCTAAAGATAATTTTGACTCTGAAAATAACCTTATTTTTTGTTTAGTCACTTGAGTTTTCTTGCCACAGTATAAATTTCTGAGGGATTTTTTAAACTGGTGCTTTTAAGAAGCAAATCCCAAGGTTTTATTTTCTTCAATGATAGCCCTATAGAAACTCTTAAATGTATTTGCGCATATATATATATATTTTTTCTTATGCATGCTCGATGCATTTTCGTCCTGAGAAAAGTGTTCTCTACAGAAACTACCCGTGTGTAAAAAGAAGATTGGCTTAAAATGGCTACTGTGATGGGAACAGTGTCTTAGGGAGATGCAGCTTGGACTTGAGGTAAATTGAATACTTTACAAACTGTGGTTTAGAGTTTGTTTTAATGACATTGTATGTAAAAGGGCACATGATTGCTGTAATTTTGTATTGATTATGGTTTCCTCAATAAAAAAATAAATGTACATTGATCAATATTATAAAGGAGTACTTTGTTTCTTTTCTAAAATATTGAAAGACTGTTTTTTAATACAGAAGTTACTTTATTGAGTTTACATTGTAAAATAAAATTGTCTTCCAGAAAACTAAAATATAAAACAACTTGGTAATAGAACATGGTAGTTAATTATTTACAAACTCAAAGAACAGATTTTAAAATTGAAGACTGTGCCATTTTTTTTTCCTCTTAGATCTTGAAACTGTCCATATGTTAAAAGTGTTTTCTCCTGCATAAACTACTGATACAAAGTTTTCTCACTAAAATATAATTTGTCAGGCAAGGTCACAACATAAATTTGCTTTGTAAGCTTGAATATATATTACACACATTTGAAAAGTACATGTTAATATTTGTTCTCAACACTCAGAACTCTATATAGGCAGTGGTTTCCATTAAATTTTCTCTGACAGTTGTTTCTTGAAAGTCTTAGTTTTGTTCTCCATGCTCCCCCTTACCCTTGAAAGGAATGGTACCCCTTCCCCTTATCTGCTTCAGAAAGACTTTGAAACTACAACAAGAGAATGATGTATTAAGGAAAACTCAAATTGATAGGTTCCAAATTCATTAAGTCTCTGCTATTTCGGACTAACTTTAGGTATAAATAGCTCATAAAAGACATTCTTTCATGCAAAATAATATAATTTTTTAAATATTACTACTGTAAACTTAGAATAATTGAGTAAAATTTCCACTTTGCCCCATTAGATACAAATTAACTTCTGCATTTAATAAGGTGATGAATCTGGTGATCATTTGGAAAGGAAGAAGGTATTCTTTAGATGAGCTTGTGTTTTGAAGACTATTATGAAAAGGAATAAAAAGTCAACATAGTGGCACTTCTGGTTTCCATTTTGGCCCCGCCACAGAAAACATGATGTAGTAAGAAAGGGGGAGGAGGGGGAGAGAGAAAGTTCCAGGGAGAGGGAAGGGGAGCTAGTAGTCGTCCGCTAAAAAAGAGAAGAAGAAAAGTGATTTTTTTTTTTTAAAGGATAAAAATAATTAAATAGAATAAAAATTCTAGATTAAGTGATTAATTCTTACTTTCAATTGTAAGAATACAGGTACTAGCTGCAGAGCCTTTGTTGTTGACTGCTTTACACATATATTCTCCTTCATCTTCTGGGAACGTTTCTGGTAAATAAAGGCAATAAGTTTCTCCTCTTTCAATATATTGGTAGTCTTCTCCATCCTGTAGTATTTCTCCTTCAAACCACCATGTAATTTCTGGTTTGGGTTCTCCTGTTACTTTAACAGTAAATCTAACTGGCTCACTGTCTACAACCGAGGTGTTTTTTAGAGGCTTCTTGAACCACGGAGCTCCTGATCTCGTTTGCTCCTCATCCTCAATAGTGGAACCATTCATGATGCTACCACCATCTTCTTCCTCTTCGTCTTCTCTTTTCTATATTAAAATAAGTGCATTCAAGTTGGCATTTAAAGTAGCAGTTCAGTAATGTTTTAGTAATAGAATTTCATGTGTAAATGGGTTTTTGCTTCCCAAAGACCATGAAACTCTGCCTACTACAATGTGTACTTTACAAAACATTCCACTGACTTGAAAGCTATTAAATTATTTTTAATCCCACAAAATTCTAAGAGCATATTTGAAAAATAAAGATTATCTAAGCCTTGTACCTTTTGTAGTGCTGCATCAATTTCCTTTTGTTCAAACTGCATCCGTAATAACTTTTGCTCTTCAATTCTTCTTTGTTCTTCTTCTTCTCTTGCCTTAGCCATTTGTTCAAATCTAGCTTTCATATTCACTTTATGAGTAAATGGGGCCTCACTTTTTTTTGCAGGCTTGACATCAACATCTTCTTCCTTTATGAAAGGGGGCCAAGAATAAGAATTGCTTGTTTTCTAGAAACCAAGAGCTAAACATTAATAGTTAATTAAGTTGTCATTTATAGGAACAAAATAATTAGCCATGTTTGGTTTACATATTTGTGCTATGGTTGGATGTAAAGATTTTCACTATCCCCTAATTTGGAAAAGATGAAGTTTTATTTGAATACGTCTCCTGACAACCCTTTCCTCCCAGTGTAAAGATGATACAGTATCACTGGAGTCCCAGTGTTTCTAACAGAAAAGGTTGGGGATGTTCTACTTTTTAACTATTAAAATACTCCCTTGTCACAAGATTGTCCATCACTCTTCACACTCCTATGTAATACAGAAAATGCAGTTTCTGCTATTTTCTACTTCATGATTTCCTTCCTCACCGTTCTTAGCTAATAACTGTTCTTGAGATGAATTTCATCCAACAAAATTTATTGATGGTCAAATGGCAGACAAGAGTTTTTGCAGGTAGAATAAATGGGAAGATAACTGAAAGAGGCAGTGACTGGAAGTTGGGGAAATCACTGAGTTGAAGTAGGTGGTTAGAGTAAGAGCTAGAAACCATGGAAATAAGGGATTAATCTAAGATTCAACTATTAAAACAGTGTTGAATCTATAAAGCAATTTGGTGATAAAGAGGTCACTAGTGGCTTTTGAGGGAGGTGTTAGTAGCCTAGGGTTATTAGTACAGTTAATTCAGGGTTTCTAAAGTACTTTAGCTATAGTTTCTAATCTACTTAGACTTTTATGGATCTGTCGGAAATCTCACCATTTATATTTCACAGTACTAAAGAGTGCTTCAAGATACCACATCCAACTGAAGGACATTGTGAAACAAGCTCTAAAATAATTGCCTATTATAAGAAAAATCTTGGTGTATGGATGTTTTGCATCAGTTTGAAGTATTGTACCTCAGTTCAACGAATAACAAAGGAGGAGTTGGATAGTTTTTGTTTTCTTGAATCAGATTTTTATTTAATGTTGGAAAATCCTAGAACATCAGATACAACCTAATGGGTAAATTCTACTTGTGCCATTAACACAAATATTTCAGTTTGAAATGATAAACCTAACGCCTGTTGATAAACTAATGCCAGACTACAGTTGAATGCAAATGAATGATGTTACAATGGTTTTTTATTAAGAAAAAGGCTAAAAGATATGTTAAATACTGGTTTGCTTACTGCAGGTTTATCTCAATGGGCTTTTCTGAGTCTTAAAAAGGACTTCTGTTCATATAATAGTTAATTTTATCCTTTGTTTATCAGATCTTCAAGATAATATTTTGGCAGGTATGATAATTGCCGTTCTGAGTCCCTCCAGTTATCTTGCTTTCTGGATTTAAGGATAAAAATTTTGTGCAGATTCATAACTGTTAACTTACTTAGCTACTTCAGACCTGCCTTTAGAAAATAAATTCAGTGAGTGCCTCATGAACTGAGAGAAAGTTTATGAACAGTCTTTCATTTCCTAAGTGTTGCTCTTTCTTGAATCCTTGAACAGCCAGGTTAAAAATGTTTCCAGGAAATGAATCTATGGAGAGTCATGTTAAATGGAATGATCTTTGTTCTCTAGGTATATTCTTAGAGTATTGACACCTACCATAAGAATATCAAAGGAAGCACAGTTGGGCAGTGAACTTGAGATAAAAGCGAGCATAAGAGATAGTTTTGGAGTATGCCTTATTAGAAAACTAGAAAATCAAACACCATAAGGCAATTAAGTGATTTAAATACCAAATGAGTTACACAGATTAAGGGCTACAAGGATCTGGGATAGAATTATTCAATTAGGGGAGGTTACATGGATGAGGCAGACCTTGAAAGATGTCTGGAATAGAAGCAGAAGACATTGAAATTGACATTTTTAAAAGAGGAAACCAGATAATACCAGATAGGGAGAAGGGAGTCCTCTAGAACTTGATTACACTCAATGCCCAAACAATGCTTTAAGGATATCTCAATGACCCTTAATCTAGAGAGATGAAGAATATCAGCATCCTTCACAGTCACGGGTTACAGGTTAACCATGTCCTAAACTCGTCCTTTTTATGCCAGTAATAGCAATAAAACAATAAGTCACCTACCTTATTTTTAATTGTACCTAAATATTCTGTAGGTATGACTGTTGGTGAGGTTTCACTACCTTTAACACAAAAACGGGAGCAAGTGCATGGTGACTGAACTTTTCTTTACCTTCTGTGATATATTTCTCTCAAAAAATGGACTGATCTTGAGGTCATCCAACCATTAAATGTTGGTGTTCTCCAGTTTTATCATTCACCTTCCAACTATTAACTCCTTGAAGATGGCTTTGTCTACCTATTTATTTTTTTAAAGATTGATTTTAGGGAGTGGGGGGAGGGGTAGAGAGAGAATCTTAAGCAGACTCCCAGCTGAGTGCAGACCTCAAAACCCTGAAATCATGACCTGAGCCTAAACCAAGAGTCCGATGCTCAACCAACTGAGCCATCCAGGTGTACCCAGCTATTTTGATAGATTTTAATACTATCCATAATAGTTAGAATCTATAGCTCCAGGCTCTCACCTGAACTCAGTACCTATGCTCCAGAATGCCTTTACCTTATCCAAATATAGTTCAAACTTTATCCAAAACTATTCATAGACCTCTAGATCTTCTGAATTCTTTGTAGTATCATCTAGTTTCCCTGGTAATCTTGAGGTAATGTTGGGCTTCTCAGCAACTACCTACCCATAAGCAGTCTGTTACCCAGTTTGGTTAAAAATTGGGTCCATTTTTCTCCCTGCATGCTAACTTCATGCCTTATCCCTGTCTTTTAGTTCATTCTCCATGAACCCAGGATTCTTTAAAACTACAAGCCCTTCATTACTCTGTCCAGAAACTAATTGTTAACATTGTTCCCAGATCATAATTCCTGCAAGATTAAAAACACCCAGTATTAGCTAGCTACTACTTTTCCAACTTTACCATCCATTATGCTATGAATCGTGCCTTTGAGCAAAATTTCCATTCCCCAGATAAGTTTTTACAATCTTCATGTAAAGGTTATAAAGGGGCACTCATCCCTCTAATTAGAATGCTTCTAAGTTTTATTCAGCCTTCTCACTTACAGCTTAAATGTAATCTCAGCACTGTTAAACCTCTCATACAATTACTGAT